GAGAGGAGCTCCACAGAAGAGCTGCAGCTGGAGCATCTGTAGAGCAGTGGCCCTCAAAGTGGAGGACGTGGGGCACTGAAGGGGGGGGGGGGGGGGGCCTGGAGATTTCCAAAAATCTATTTATGTTTAATAAACCATTAGAATGACTATATTTCATCCATAACCTACTGAAGAGAAACAAATAGTGGTTTATAGTCACTCTGTGCTAGTTACTATAGTAGCTTATAGTGACTAGTTCTATTGGATTGCGCCCCCTGGGGTAATTACATTATAATTATAAAATAATACATTATAATATAATACATTATACATAATATATAATACATTTAATTATATTGAAGACACAGCAACAGCGTCAGATGCAGCAGACTGATTTTATGGCACCAGGTTTGACTGTCCGGCACATTTACAGCACTCACATACATTAAAAAATAAATGAAGAATAGACTCAGGTCTGTTGGAGTGTGTGCGCCTTTGCATGCAAGGTCTCTGTATTTATAACCATGTTAGAAGAGTCGGGAGTCGCTGGCATCGTTATCTTGGGGTTGAAAAGGCTGATTAGTTTTGGGAACCGCTGCTGTAGAGGATGAGGGTGCAGGACAGGAGACCAGCTAGAAGAACCAGCAGCTCACATGACCACAGCTCAGAGCTGTGCAGCAGGATCTGTGAAGGGTCTGATCTACTGATGATGAAGAGTGCAGAGCTGCAGGACAGAGCAATGTGCTCCATGAAGGACGGCTGATCATCCAGGAGCAGCACAACATTCCTTACTGAACTACATGAGGTAACGCTGGACAATCCCAGTCATGATGAGTGTGTGTGTGGAGTTCAGGGAAGATGAGCAGCTCAGTGTTGAGGATGACATCTAGCACTCATCACCAACACATTCACAATGACACACACACACACACACACACACACACACAGCAGAGAGGAGGAGATGTAGATCTGACACAACTGAAACCTCATCAACACCCCCAAATACAGCAGAACTGGCCAATCACTGCCCTCTGACTCATCTGCATATTCATGAGCTCAAATATCACACATCTGAATATTCAAAACTATAATGACCGACTGCAGCAAACATCATATGAGACTCTGTCACGTGTGTGTGTGTGTGTGTGTGTGTGTGTGTGTGTGTGTGTGTGTGTGTGTGTGTGTTAAAGGGAACTGAGTGAATCTAGTTCGCCTGTCATCTTCATAGATCCTCATGTTGACTATCTAGGGCACTGACTGTGTGTGTGTGTGAGAGAGAGAGTGGGTGAATGAATGAGTGGGTGAGTGTTTGTGTGTGTGTGTGTGTGTGTATCTGTATAATTGTGTTTGTGTGCATGTCTGAACCAAGGAAACCAATAATATCCCCACATTTCACAAAAAAACAAACCTGTGTGTGTGTGTGTGTGTGTGTGTGTGTGTGTGTGTGTGTGTGTGTGTGTGTGTGAGGTATGTGTGTGTGTGTGTGTGTGTGTGTGTGTGTGTGTGTATTTATGTGTGTGTGTGTGTGTGTGTGCGTGCGTGCGAGGCTGATCATATGTGCATGGACTCTGATCATGTGTGTGTGTGTGTGTGTGTGTGTGTGTGTGTGTGTGTGTGTGTGTGTGTGTGTGTGTGTGCAGTTCCAGCTCCTGGTCATCTGCAGACTCGTGTTCAGAGTGTGGGGAATTTCTCCAGTCGTCCGCAGCTCAAGGCCACGGCGTACGTCAGTCCCACCATCAAGAGCTCGTCCTGCAGCTCGTCCCCCAGCGGGCCCCAGTGTGTGTCCGGCAGCGTCCCGAAGGCGTCTGCAGCATCTCAGATCCCGTCCCGCAGTGGTCTGCCGCGGCCGGCGTCCTTCATCGCGGCCGGCTCGAACCCTCGCAGTAAACTCAGCACACCTGTGCGCAGGTGAACATCACATGACCGACCTCTTTTATTAGATCACGATGGCTTTAATTCTGTGAGACGTGTTTTTATTTCTTCAGTTCACTCCTGTGAAGCAGTTTAAACTCTTTCATCCAAACACGGCTTTAGAGATTACAGCGGAGATCAAGAGTGAGAGCTTCATCTGATCATGAGCTGCAGGAGAGGCATGTGCACTGCTTACATTACTGAGAGCGTGTGCCTCATTCTGCTCTGAACACTCTTACATCAGTCAGCATTCTCCAGACCAGCACAGCATATAGGGCTGTTTTCAGCAATAATGAGTCTAAACGAGGAGAGTTTCTCATTAAAACAAGCAGAATAATCAGCCGATGGGGAAGCAGAATAGTCTTGTCTTCTTTTTGTCTTCATGTTATTTTCCTCTCCTCGTTGTCAGAGTATTCTGCTTGCTTTAATGGGAAACTCTCCTCATTTTGACTCATTGCTGAACACGAGACAGTATGTTGTGCTTGTCTCTAAAAGGCAGTGAGGTGTGTGTTCCGGCGTCTGTGTTCTGAGCTCTGTAGATGATGATGATGGTGTATTCCTCTGCTTTAGTGATGTTTCTCTCTCTCTCTGCTGTTTCTGTAGTGTGCTGACTCCACCAAAGAACCTGGCGCCGCTGAGCGCTCTACGGGACGGACACTGGCGGGACGGGTGTTACTGATGGACACACGGGTGTCAGACGGATGGACAGTCAGCGGCTCTGGAGCTGTGACGGGTCACGAGTGTCCTGCAGGTCAGGAGACTCACTGCAGCACCGGAGCACTGACTGACCACTGCTGCAGGAGGAGGAGCACAGGGGCGCCATATGCAAACACACACTGCACTGAACACCACCATCATCATCATCATCATCATCATCATCATCATTATCATTATCATACACTCATAGTAATCTGATATATGTCATATATGAAACATATTTTGAAAGATTGGAGTATGCCAAATGAGACATAACACTGGAGAGGCCGTGTTCATTCTGAAGCGCTGCTGCTGCTCTGTCTCAGTGTGGATGAGGGAAAACGGAGACATCTGGAAACGGAGGCGGGGCTGCTGAGATTCGCTCCCTGATTGGGGCTTTTGTGTCATTGCGTATCCTTCCCTTATTGGTCAAGTCCCTATCACATGACAATAACACATGGCTTTAACGCTACCGGGAGACAGCAGACCAGCGTTCACTGTAAACAACAGCATGCACACAGAAATGGGAGCGTTGTTTGCACTATTGTCTGTTGTAGGCAGTGGCGTAGCGGACGGGCCCGCAGGGCACGCAC